TGCGCTTTGTGACGCCCAACCGATGGCTGGTTGGGGAATTCTGGGAGTTGACGTCCACACATGGCTGGCTGGGGAATTCTGGGAGTTGACGTCCACACATGGCTGGCTGGGGAATTCTGGGAGTTGACGTCCACACATCTTAAAGTTCCCAAGGTTGAGAAACACTGATAGAGACACACACATATCATTTTCAGTAAGAATATAAATTACATTAGTAGTAGTAGCAGAGTCGTGATTGTAGTAGCAATAATGGTACTAGTGGTATTTCTTCCTTGCTGTACACAGTCCTTTACATAGTAAAGGATGATCAATTCTTGCTTACAAGGGAAACAGTCAAGAAAGTAACTAAATACAGAGGCCAAGATAAAAGAGGCTGAATATGCATTTATGTTAACATGTTTTCAGACTTAAATTACTACAGGGTATATTTCAAAAGTTTCATAGAAAAGATTGAGAAGAGAAAGAGAAGAGAAAAGGGATTGTGCAGGAGACGGTTCAAGACGTAAGTAGTAGGGAAGAAACATGATTTTTCTCATTGTTCACTAAGTTTGATAGGAAATGACTGCTCTGCACTGGGATAGTACATTTGAGATATTTTAGACTTTCCTACGCTATCTGTTCATCCTCATAAATGAATTGGAGTGAGAGAGCAAGTGACAAAACATGTGCCGTGACATTGCAAGGCCAATTCTGCCCCTTGCACATTGCAAGGCAAGGACAAAAGGAGGGCTGAGTTTTGGCCTGTGACATCACAATGCATCATTTCATTGTTTTGACATCAGCATGGTTAGAAATGAATGCCTATGTCTTATTTCCTAGCTGTTACCTTTTTTGCCTCCCTTTTATTATTTGATTTCTTTTTCTGATTTTTTTAAAGTACTTCTCTGGAAACTTTCAACGTTTTAAGTAACTTTGTAAATTAGTCAGAGATCTTTGGCTAGTGACAGATTAGGGGTAGAGTCAATCAATAAATAAGGTTAAGTCTTATTTGTCCCACGTGGTTCTTTACAAGCTCACTTAAGAAAAGTACAAGAGCCTCGCCCTCCTAAACTTGGAAATGCTACATTCACACAAAACACCTAACTGAATCAGGTAAAGGCTTAGTAGTTGTATTTGCACAATGTGCTTTGGTTAGTATTAGTTAGTTTTGGGGGAGTAGCTAGTATTTGTGCAAGCCCAACTCATTAGATTAGAGTGTGATTCAGTATATTGTGAGAATCCAGAAACTGGTCAATTAGTAGTCAGGTTAATGATGTTGTGTGATTCAGCCAGTATGTGTGGGAGATTAACAGAATTAAAAAGGGAAGACAAGAGGGCAGGAACAATAAAGCCTAACAAAGAAATACAGTCATGGTTAACAAGAAAAGAAAAGGATCTAAAGAAATTGTTGCACATATTCTACAAGTATCTTGATTGAAGAGGTGGTTTGCTACACCCACAAAAAATTGAGTTTCATCTAAAACCATATTCCCTAAACTGGTATCCTTCACATGTGTTGGGACTTTGTCTCCCATAATTCTCAGCCAATGTCTGAAGAGCACCAGTTTGGGCAGGCGGATATTATGATAGGGCAGAACCAAGAGAACATTCAATGAATTGATCAGGAAGTCCTACAGTCCTAGGTATCCAAAAAAACAAATTGATGGGTAAGAGAAGACATGATGAAGTCTTAAAGGTTTCATGAGGATTTTTAGCTTCCCTATTTGTTGCCACTAATACAGATGTGTATTTTTAGGACATTCATGTATCCTGTTTTGCTCATTTAAAAGATATACCCAAACCAAAATGTAACATTGACAAAAACAATGGAAACAATCTCATTGGGGAAGACTAGGCTAAAGATTTCGTCCATATAATTCTCAACTCCCTTGCTTTCACAGAACCATACATCCAGAAGAAATGTTCTACCATTTCCCCTGGCCTTTTCTTCCCAACATCAGTCTCTTGAAATATCAAATCCTGTATCTTAATACAGCAAGAAGATGCCCATTGATAAAATGACTTTAGGTGACTCTGTTGAATGAGAAATTAAAAGCTTGATTTGGTCATAGAGTTTCAAGTTATGGCTCTGCCGACACTTTCTTGGGGAGGTCCCTGAGAAGAAATGGAAGAAACTATCTACCTTTTTTTCCATGTCTTGTTTAAAATCGGGCAAGACTACAAAGATATTGCTAAATCAGTTATAACAGCACCCAAGCTCCATGCCCTCCAGATCTATGAATTTTAACGTCCAAAATTCTCAGCAATTGTTATGATGGCCAATTTGGGCTTGAATTTTGGGATTACGGGAATTCTGGGAGCTGAAATCCACCTTCTGGGAAGCACCCAGATAAAGGAAGGAGGCAGGAGAGCAAAGCATCAAGAAGTGAATGCAGTCTGTACTTTTCCCATTGGCGATCTGGGTTTAGATAATGATTTCCACTGCTTTGACTATTTACAGGGGAGGATCTGGAGGTTGAGTCATGGCAACTGGACTTCTTTTCTTTTGGTTTTGTCCAAGTCAGCGAAACATATCTAAC